CTCACATTCCATGTTCCAATCACTAGGGTCTGCTTACAACTGTTTCTCCTCCTTTGCATTTCCATACTTGAAAGTTCTACCTAGGTTGCCCTTTCTGTTAGTCTGCGTGTGTTCTGTTGTGCATAGGGTTTTCAGAGGCCTGCTATTTCAGAAGTGGGTGGCCAATAAACCATCATTCTTGCCTCAAGGAGAGTCAGACACATATATTACGTTGATGAATAAAAAAATAAAAGGACTGCATTTCACACAATGCCCTGTAAATAGTAGGCACTCTTCTTCTATATAGTAAAGCCCACTACTATCCAACCAACTCCGGTTCATGTAAAAATATTAACAAGAGACTGCTCAGTTTTCTCTCGAGGAGCAGTTGGTGAGTTCGAACAACCGACCTTACAATTATGCTACCATGGCTCAACAAAATGAGAAACAAGTGATTTCCTTACTCTTTTGCCATACACAATGACTTTAAGGCTGAAAAAAACTAGGGACTGATGTTTAGGGTCGGGAGGAGGGGTGGGTTAAAGTAGTCGGTCAGGAGTAGATTTGGGAGATGTTAGGACAGGAAGAATAAATATAAAGGAAATAACAATACCTTTCTCATTGCGAACCGGGACGGCGCCAGCCGTAGACTGAATAGGCGGTTGTTTCATGAGTGCGCTTGGAACCGACATGTTGGTGGCAGCAGTGGTGACTCCTTCCACTCGACTGATTCCAAACAGTGAACACCAGCAGCGTCAACGAACAGAACACAAACTCAACGTAGACTTAGCTGACACAGTAGACTTAGCGAGAGGAAGAAACACACCACCTACGTCGGAGCTAGACAAACCGGAAATAAGCGTCGAGAGGATTATGGGATATTGGAGGTTGCCTGCGCGCTTTGGCCCCCAAAGTCTATTACTGCGCATGTTCAAAAGTTGCAATCTCGTCCGTAATCTCGCAGCATTTAGAAGCCCTTTCTGGCGGGAAATAGAGCTGTGCGCTTAAAGATCTACGGCGAGGCAAGTCCGAAAGAGTGGTTTCACTTGTTACTTTCATTTGAAGCCATGGAATGATATAGTTACAAGTGAGAAACTTGGGAGATAATGAAGATCTTCTTGTCCATATTATTAAAAGTCCAGGCCGGTTTGAGTAAATGGTGGTATCCAAATAACTCAATTCATGAGGCTGGCGTGGGTGCATGATTTTACACGTGTAGTTTATAAGAAGGTAGAGGGTGGTGATAATTAGGCAAAAGGGTAAAAAAGATGTAGTATAAAAATTTCCCCAAGAGGCGAGTTTCTTGGCTTTCCAAAACTCCAGTTTTAGACATTAAAGTTCTTTTAACGGAGGCCACCTCTTTAAATACTTCCTTGCTGAAAAGTATGTTAATCAGTAATTGAGTGTATAGTGCAAATGATTGATATGGAAAAAAGCCATTGAAAATCCTATGGAACAAAGTTCTACTGTGGCATTTGTGGGGTTGCCAAGACTCCACAATGGCAACTGTTTGCTTTTGTTTATTTTTTTTAACTTACTGTGTTCACCAGTGGGAGTTCTGGTGGCCTGTTCTGTCCAGAGTTGGGGCTGCTATACTAAAGGGCCTCCCTGTAATTTGAGTTCGGGGCTTCGAGGTAGAAAGATGAGCAATCTCCTCCTCTGTGATTTACAGTTTAGGAAACCCAAAGGAGGATCAAATATGAGTCATTTCCAAGTCGACCTCAATTAGGTTTTTTGTTTTTCTCTTCAGTTTTAGCACTCTCTGTAAGGAACTATTAATTATAGTTAAGTATATTAAATAGTATTAACTATTAAGAGAACTATTAAAATATAGGAACCTAAAGTTTGAATTCTATTTCAGAAGGCTTCAAGGACTTCGAGAATCACCGTAAAGCTGATTGGATTTTCTAGCTGGGTTGTGTTAAAAACCCCACATTGGCTAATTGAATGTCGGCATACAGTTTAACACTAAAAATACTTTATAAGTGATGGAAGAGGCCTTTTTCTAAAAATTTTTTAAACTAAATTGTTTTTCCATTGTTGCACATTTTCTTCTCCCCTCCCCTCACTCTTCTCCCAGCCCTCCAGGCAATGCACCTCTTGTTCCATGTTTGTAATACATAAGAGCAAAATCTTCAAGGACCAGAATAGTATATGGAACTCTGAAGAGTTCAGATATAACAGTAATTTTAGAGTCTGAGAGTGGTGAAAAGTTAGGCAGGTATCTACCCAATCTTGAAAGGTGCTTTTAAGAAATATATCTAATCCTATAATTTCATCTGTATTCTAAAATTGAGCCAAGACAGAGTGAACAAATCTGGCAAGCCTCATTGAACAGCACAAGATCCAAGTAACCACAGAAGGGAGTTATTTTGGCATATAAAGAGAAGGGCCCTAAAGATTGATTAAACTCGTCAGCAAGTGAAATTCCAGCTCATAGTGACACTATAAAATAGTAGAAGTGTCCCAGAGTTTCTGAGATTTTTGGCTTTATAAAAGCAGACTGCTACATCTTTCCCTGCAGAACTATTGTGGATTCTAACTGCTGATGTTTAGACCTGGCGGTCCAGCAAATATTGCATCAGCAGAATTCTTTAAAGATATAATAGACGTTAGTATAATAGATCATAGCAATGAGTTGTGCTGGATTCGATGGCATTCAACAACAGCAACAATAGTGAATTTATCAGCTCAAAGAATGAAGCTTTCCAGAGGCGTAAAAATGATGGGTAGACAATTGTTTTGGCTCGTGATTACCCATTGTTAGAAAAATATGGAGTACACTAAAATCTTACTTGGTATTTTTTTTGTTATTTTTTTGTTGTTGTTGAGTAATACACAAATTATTTTAAACACAACCCCACTTTTATCAAGTTTTAGGCTATTTAAAGTCGTCATTAAGACCTTAGTTAGCAAGTTTGCAAATGGTCAGAAGGTGAAATTTAACAGCTCTTGAAAAGAAAATGCTTCCCTTCCTAGGAATAAGATCCTGTAGTAGCAATGAGACATAATTCTTTGTTGATGAGGTTAGAAGGAGCTAAGTGAGTTGAAAGAAAACTGCATGCATGTTTTCAATTTTCTTTCTCTTTAATTTTGTACTGAATTAAGGTGGAGTCTGAATATTCTAGCTTCACAATAGAAGGAAAGGTGATTTTTCCTAAGTAAAGAAGCGCCTCCTTTTAAAAAGTGAAACTCTGGAACCACGAGTAACAAAATCACAGGGATGCAAGGTAAAAAAGTTGATTCAGTCCCATGGCATCCCTTTAAAAGGAGCCTTGGTGGTTTAGTGCATAAAGTATCAAACTGCTTCCTAACCAAAAGGTCGGTGGTTGGAATCCACTGGCATCTCCCCGGAGAGAGTTGACCAGTTTCTTGTGTAAAGATTTAGAGGTCGCCAAGAATCGGAATTGATTGCACGGTAGTGGGGTGGAATGGAGTGTGGAGGTATCCCTAAAGTAACTGTTGGAGTGAGGCTGGTAACCCCGCCCACTTAAATAACTTGTAATCCCGCCTCCTCCGGGTCAGCTGAGATCTGAGCCAGGAAGCTACTGTAGGCGGGAATTACAACTTTTCCCACCGCATCCCGCCAGCCCCTGCCCTCCCCGCCCGCCCCACCCCTCCCGGACTCCCGCCTAATTAGGCGGGAAGAAACAAGCTGCTAAACCACTGCAAGATGTCTCGTGCTACAACCAAGAAGTTGGGTTCCTGGAAGCGACCCCAGGTGATGGTGAGAAAAGACCTGGCCCCTGTAGGTGTTAGGTTTAGATTTTTAGGACTTCACGAACGATTTGCAGGGCACAGGCCCAGGAAGACACGGTGACCCGACATGGGCCGCATCGCCACTGCAGAACTATTTCCCACCCCTCCGGCGTTTCTCCACTTGATGGACTTTTTTAAGTGTTATTTTTTAAAAAATTAGCCAGGATTCCTGGCATGGTTTTCCTCTATAGAAAACTTGGCTTCCAGCATTGAGGAAAGTTTCAGTGACCCTAGAAATACTGGAGTGGCAGGATCGGGCTATACTGACTGACTTTTCAATGACAGCCTTCTGCTGTCCAGAGTCTCTAGTAAGTTGAAAGTTGGGGTAGTTTTGATAAATTAGAATTGATAGTAATTATAACTTACCAGGAAAACTCATGGGGAAGACATCTGCCCTTCATTTGAAATACACTTATTTTAAGTGTTTCTCACTACCTATTTTACATGTTCTTGCATGGTGGGTTTTTTGTATGTATGTATGTATGTATGTATGTATGTATGTATGTATGTGTTTTTATCGTCCAGTAGTTAAATCTCCGTGCAGAAAAAGAAATGTCTTGAATTCTGAGGAAAAGAAAGTACCGTTATAATAAACTGTAATTCTGTTCTATTTAGTGAATTGTCTCTGTTTGCTGTCAAGTTGGAACTGAGTTTCTGAGTCAGTGAGTTGCATGGGATGAGATTGCCCAACTTTACCCTGAAGAATTACTGGTGAATTTCAACTGCCTGAGAAACGAGACCTTTGTGTTAGCCGAGCACTACTACCTCCAGAATTAGTCCGATTTTGGGGGCTTTTCTGATAGGCTCTCTCAGCTTGCATTTTGGTTGGGATCATAAAATAGAAATTGTTGTTTTGTTAAAAAAAGAAAAGATATTTGTTTCCAGACATCTGGACACCTTGTAAGAAAAGTCACAGGATCTGAGATTCTAATACTCTGTTTTTCTTTATTGACCTGACTAGGTGAATGAAGGTAAAGAAAATCAAAATTTCCCTTATGTGTCTCTGAAACCAATACCAAAGGTAGTTTTAGAAAAAGTGCTTAAGGTTCACCTTGCTGCCTTTCCACCCAATGATGAAGAGTTAGACCAAGGGGCATTGTGTGTGAAGACTGAAATAAATACAGTTTACAGAGGGATTTTAACTACAAAAATGGAAGCTACATCTTCCAGGGCAGAATCTACTCTCCACAAAACATCCTTAGATGCTCATCCTGAAAATAATATGCCCCAACACAAGAGCACTTCAGATACAGTGAATCTCAGTGTTGATACAGAAAGCAGTCAGGATGGTGACAGTGATGAAGATAACATGCCAGGCCTGGTAAGCATTTCATTAATAGCTTGATCTAAGTGTTATTGTTTGGAAATTTGAAGTTCTGATAATCTAAGGTTATCATGGATCATTTTTATAAACTCAGATTATTTACTGATTTAAGTTTAAAAATAGAAAAAAAATTGGGTTAATTTTGCATTTAGTTTCATTATAACAAAGGTAGAATTTACGTGATCTTTTCCCTTCTCAGTTTATTGCGTATATATTTCTTGTGCTAATATGAACACATGCTGTTTATCGCATGTGCTTTTTCATTTTGTACATTCTTTATGGTACTTTGCTCACTTTTACATATTTTTGCACAGTGTATAGAAGAAGTCAATTTAGGACACTTAAATGAACTTGATAGATCAAGGAAAACTAAAGATGAATATTGTCCATCAGCTGCTCAATTGGAGAAGGATGGGCTATCTTCTTTAAAGACTTACAGCCTCAGAAACCGTAAATTATCTGATGGAGGGTGACTATAGCAGTGGGTTTGGCTGATTATTATGCAATGATAATTAGTTTTTTCCTTTATTGACTTAGAGGTGAGAACTTGGGGTGGGGCAGTATGTGTTAATTTCTAAATGCATAGAATTGGTTTGAGCTTGGATTCTTGGTTGGGCCAGTTCTGGGGAACCTTCTGGCTTTAGGCCAATTCACCTTTATTGTGATGGGGTTCATTAGATAAATGGTTCTCAAACTTTCCTGCATCAGTTGCCTGGAAAGTTTGTTGAAACAATAGCTAAGCTTCATGCAACCTCTAGAATTTAGAATTAAAAACCTTAAGATTATAGTGTAGAATTTAGCTTCATAGAAAAGATGTTGCTGCTTTTCCGGGACAATTTTAAACGACTGAATTGGATCCCCCCTTTCCTCTTAGTCTATAAAACTCCAAGTATTTGACGTTACTATAAGGTAGATTTTAGTTTGGTATAAGAAACTCAGGGCAGAAATTAGAACGTGAGGTAGTGAGTAGTTCTACAGCACATGTCAAGCTGAGTTGTGAATGAAACGTCCAAACTCACTACCAAGTCCAGAAACACCATTAACTGAGTGTATAACAAATAGGCTTTATTTAAAATGTGCACTTTGGTGAAAGCTGGCTTAGGTGCAATTGGCAGCAGCACTGAACAAAGAGAATAGTAAAGAACTTATCCATTCTACTTTTTCCTGGGGGCATTAGTCAGCAATTAAGGGCCCTGGGCCATTTTTCATTATTTCAGCACTCCCTGTCTTAAACATTAATCATTATAAATTAATTAATCATATATTAAGTAAACATTAATCACATTATTTAATATTTCCTAGAAGTAGGGTCATAAAGGTCAGTAAAATGGAATTGGTTTGGTTTCAATTATATAGTAAAAGTAGTTTGGATAAAAGTTTTTAGATCAAGTTAGTTTTTTTTTTTTTTTAGATCAAGTTAGTTTTAACACTTTTGGTTTCGTGAAATTAGTGTTAGGTCTTCCACACTAGACATAAATCTGAGGACTCAAGGAAGGGACCAGAGAAAGAAAGGAAGCTAAAGAAGCTTGATTATGGGGGCTCCTGGGTGGGAAATATCACTCCTAAAGTGGATTGTTGTTGTTGTTGTTGCCTGCAACTCATAGCGACCCTATGTACAACAGCCCTAAACTCCACTCTGTCCTGTGCCAATCGCACTGTCTCCGACACTCCCAGCCCAA